CTAACATTTTGTTGCCAAATTTTTAAGTTTGTATATTCAATTCCAACCTTTATATTAACCTTTGAACCGAGTACCTTCTACCCCATCTTACTAATCATATTATAACCAAGACTTAACCATTGTCATTTTTTACTATTAAACTTTTTGGTACTTTAATTGTGAATTTTATTTGTCGAATTTAATTCTAGTTATACTCTTGATCTTGTCAACCAAACCTATACAGACTCGGAGTTTATTGAGTTTATCTGGGAGAGAGTCCGGGGTCAACGCCCCCGCGGCCCGGTCTGTGACCAGGCCTCCTTAGGTCCAGAGTCCCGGATGTGACCACACACCAGTCGACTAACAACGGTACCCATTTACTGATGGGGAAACATAGACAACAGTGAAGAAAACACGTCCATGTTTTCTCTCATCTGCCTGGGAATCGAACCCAGGCCCTCACCTGTGGAAGCGAGAGCGTTAACGACACAGGCCACCTAGTGCCAATTGCAAGTACCATTTCAATTTGTAATTTTTATATTATAAGTTTATATTATAATTCCCTCTCTAAGATATGTTTTCAAATCTAGTGACTAAATTTCTTTGTGGTGTGCAATTTAGTGTATATTTCATTTATATTATTGTTGCAAAGGCCCTAACAATCTTTGCTAACTGTACCAACTACCTCATTCTATCATTTTTTTTTTTTCTACTATTTTTTATTCTTTTGCTACTTAACTTATATTTTTAATCTGTCAATTTAAATCTAGTTATACTCTAAAAATCTTGTAACAACTTATATAACACCTTAGTGCAATTACAATTGAGAGTCTGTGCCTTTTTTATATTATTAGATTAAACTCATTGTATTAAAAATAAAAAGTCAATACCAAAAAAAAAAAATTTCATTAATATAAGACCATATTGCAATTACTAGTGAGATACAGTGCTATTTTTAATATGTATTTTTATATTATTAGATTAAATCTATTTGTAACTATAAGCTCATTCTAGCACAAAACATAGACACCACAAAAGCCATATATAGACCCCTGAGTGCAATTACAAGTGAAGTCTTATTCTATTTTAAATTTGTATTTTTTATATACTATTTCATACTAGTTGTAATAACTTTCAGTTCATATCCAGCACAACACATGACATACATCGACTTCAATAAGTGTAGTAGTGACTAAAACCCTATATGACCAAAATACTCTAGACTATATACTTATACCAAGCTTTCCCACCACTACATAATATCATACAGAGAACTGCAACCACATAGCTCAGATATAAATAACCAATATTTAAAACCTAGAAGATAATTGATCACGTGACCCTGATCTAAACCTCCATAATCTGACAACCCAACAAAACCTATTGGAGAAGTAACTGCCTTATTATTACACAGCATCACAAGCCAGCACTAACCTAAACAATGCTAAAACCTATCATACTTCACTAACAACATCAGGTCCATAAGCAAACACTATGATGACCTCCTGGCACTCCTTAAATCACAAAAGACCCACCCTTCTCCTGCATTATTCCTTACTGAGACCTGGCTTAATGCAGACACAATAGATATCTACCCTCTACCAGGATAACAGCAATTCACAACTGCAGACCAAACCAAGTTGTGGGAGGTATTTAAACTATTACTCTAAACCAGTTATCTGTATTAGCAACCACTTGCTTTAGTGATGAATATGGAATACAATTTTGCTAATTATTACTGTAAAAAACCTTAAGACAACCTATAACAATCGTGCCATTACCGATACCTCAACACAAACATCCCCAAATTTTTCAGTGAGAAATTAAAGTCACTAATAACACACAGACAACTGAATAACCCCTACCTTCTCTAGCTGGAGACTTCAAACATCAACCTTGGCTTTACTAGATGATCAGACCTGTAACTTGATTTCAACAACAATATGAACAACACACTTCTCATACCAACAATCACTAAACCAACCAGGCTCACTGAGACAAGTGCAACCATAATATACCACCTATGGACCAAATATACTAGCCCCCCCCCCTTAAATCGGATAATCCAGAGATAGCACATACAAGACCAACTACCCTACCTTCTTCCTGACAAACATTAATAAACCACCACGTTGAATACAACAAAGTCTCATTTAGAGACACATGACGAGTCCTCAATAAGGAAGTTTCACAACTGACCTATAGAGTTTTGACTGACCTACAGAATACTCCCAGGCCAATGGTATTGATGACGGGACCGACATTTTTCTTAACAAATTAATTAGACTATACAACAAACATTGTCCAATAAAAACGAAACAGATCACACAAACAAACGGCTTTGGTTGCCCAAGGCAAACACACCATTCTGAAATCCATTGACAAGAAACACCAATAAGAAAAGCAATTAGACAGGGCCTTAATACAAAAGATATTCTTAAACACTATTCATCATTCTCACCAAAGTAACAAAGAAAGCCAAACAACTATACTACCCAGTAGATTCACAGACACTAGAGGAGATATAAAAGAGACCTGAAAACACTCTTCTCAGATTCTAGGACCCCCAAACTGACAAAAAACAAGAATATTGTCCTAACAAAACCTAATGGAACACCCCCCCAATACCACCCTAACATCCCACTGACCAGCTACAAGATAAGACGAGCATTCTTCTCAACCATAGGGATCTAATCTCGCCAATAAAATCCCCATACTAATGTGCCCTATGCCGGGACTACCAAGATGGGAATTTCCCAAATTTCCCTTCTATCGAGCACCAACTAGACCCTCGGAAGTCACCGAGATTATAAAGTCACTTAAAAACAACTCAGGAAATCTGTCTAATGTCCCTACCATTACTGTACAAGCGAGCGCGGGGCGCCCAAAGACCTTTCGTCATGCGGGTATTGGGGGGGGGGGGTCATTGACAATTGTAACGGAAAGGTCAGCTAGAGCGTGCGGGGGGAGGCACGCTTGTGATATCGCGGGAAACCTGCGGGTCGCCGTGCACGAGTGAGTCATGCTCGAGAGGTAGAAGAGAGATATAACCACAGATAGGGTGGGGGACGAGCTCGAGAGATAGGTTATAGGTTTCCCATCATACCGGACGTGGGTTATTACTTCATCTATGATATTGCTCCCAAATAATAGATATTAACTGTACCATTGCTAATCCAAATCTTTGAGAAACACGTGTACAGAGACTATATTCATTTATAACACACAAAACATACTCAACCCCTGCCTATTTGGATTTAGGAAAAATAAAAGCACTAATTATGCAATCATAAAAATGCTAGATCTGCTTTTACACAGCATGGGAAAATAACGGAATATCCACCAGGTATTTTTTTATTGACCTAAGAAAAGATTTTACACATAGACCACGACATCCAACTAACACAAACTTGCCATTATTGTATAAGAGCCATCTGCTTGCTTATTCACATCTTACCTTACTAATAGTATCATTATGTTTACCATAAAGACACAGAAACAACAACAGGGCCACTTGATACAGGAGTTCCCGCAGGGAAGTTGTCCTTGGTCCCATCTCTTCCTCATATACATCAATGGATCTCCAAACGTATCCCAACAACTGAAACCCATTCTCTTGCTGACGACACGACTTATGTCATCCTCTTCACCCATAATCTTGCCACCCTCACACCATTGTTAACGAGGAGCTGATCAAATAACATCTTTGGATACAGCCAATAAACTTTACGCTTAACACTGACAAAACCTACTATATATTATGTTTGGTAGCAGAGCACAAATTAACATTAAGATCGACAACACTCTAATTACCAGACATAATGAGGGCAAATTCCTAGGCCTATACCTGACAACAACCTGAATTTCAGCCCTATATCCAACACATAACCAAAAAAGTATCCAAAACAGTTGGGATCCTCTCCAAGATATGATACTACGTGCCGCAAAATGCCCTTCTCACACTATACACTCACTTATTTATCCATACCTCACCTATGCTATTTGTGCTTGGGGATCAACTGCAGCAACACACCTAAAGCCAATAATAACCCAACAAAAAGCTGCAGTAAGAATAATCACTAAATCCCATCCCTGGCAACACCCCCCCCCCTCTTCATAGATCTAAACTTACTCCCTGTTCAGTACATCCACACTTACTACTGTGCAATCTACATCTACAGGACCTTAAACTCCAATATCAACCTTGACCTAAAATGCTTTCTTGATAGTTGTGACAGAACCCACAGGCATAACACCAGACACAAACATCTCTACGACATTCCCCATGTCCGACTAAACCTTTACAAAAATTCAATGTATGTCAAAGGCCCTAAAATCTGGAACATCCTACCTGAGAACTCTAGAACTGCAGACACATTCATCACCTTCAAAACTACGATTAGAAAACATCTTATCTCCCTGATAAACCCCATCAACTAACTACACGAATACCACCTGGTGGTTCACACTTACACTCACTCACCCATTTGACCATAAACAGAAATATTATCTCAATCTTAAAATAATGAATCTATGATACTCCATACTGAAGCTATGTACTGTGCCAAAACAAAAGCATTCACATTGCTAAACTCATAAACTAGTATTTAGTCACTTAGCCATAATACCAACTTACCTCATAATTTGTAATATTTTAAAATAAACAATTAAACTAAGTCTGCCCGAAATGCCTAGCCATGCTAGGCGTTCTAGTGGTGCACTCTGTAATCATTATTTAACTACATGTAAACCACACAACAACCAAATTCTGTAAATTCAACATTGTAATCTTTATAGAGAATAAACTTTTAATTTGAATTTGAATTTAGCTCAATATCTGGGGAAGGTAAATTTAGTATCCAGGTATCAATTTAATATGTACCTGGGTATCTGCTTAATACCCAGGTATTAAATTTAATACTTGGATATCAATTAATACCCGGTTATTAAATTTAAAACCTGTTTATTAAATTTAATGCCAGGGTATCAATTAATAACCAAGTTTTGAATAACATTCTTACCTGGGCTGTAAAAAGATGCTCCCACACCGATAGATATGACACCTGTGAATAAATTTACATACAGTATTTAGTGCATATTTCCTCTGTATCAACACATAATTATTATTTATTGATGCTGTGTTGTATATTTCATACAGTATACTGTAGAATTTTTATATTAGCCAGTAAAGTGCTTTTTGCCCAGCTCTACATCTCTAGTATTTTGCTGTCATGAATCACATTACGGTAAAGAGGTGCTTTTAAACAGTAGCTTTAAAGCTACTGGCAGAGACAGAGGCTCTGGAATCTTCAGTTAGAGTTCTCAATTTTGGGGCCTTTTATATGCTGTACATTGAGATTATATTTACCCATCCAGAATATTTCTAAAAATATTCCAAGAAAGTGGGTGTTCTCTCAAAAATATGCTATTATGTACCCCAAACATCCCTACTCACTCTGTACTACTCTCTAATCTATCCTTACCTCACCTATGGTGTTTGTTGTTGGGGATCAACAGCTAATCACCTGAAAATGCAAATCTAATTACTGGACCTTAACTTCTAAGTATGATCAATAGGAATAAGGTTGTTATTATTATTATTATTATTATTATTATTATTATTATTATTATTATTATTATTATTATACTTTCTGTAAAATCATTTCTGGATTTTTTGAAAAAAGTTTATCTTATCTTTCTGTCCAGGAGCACCACACATGTTGCTGTACTGTCTGAGGGCACCATATACAACTGTGTCACTTTTGTTACACACAAAAGTTTGTTCCACATTTTCACAAAAAAATTAATTCATATTATAGAGATTTAAATACCTTACCACCCTTTATATACAAAAAAAGTGTCATAAGTGCTATCACCAATCATTGCAACACTCTTTAACAAATCCATTGAATCCTCCACCTTCCCTACAGTTCTCAAAATAGCAAGTGTCACCTTGATCCATAAAGGAGGAGACCAAACAGAGTTGAATAACTATAGGCCAATATCCAACTTACACCCTCTCTCAAAAATCTTCGAAAAATTAATTCATAAACGAATCTACTTCTACCTCATCTCCCAAAACATACTCAACCCCTGCCAATTTGGATTCAGGCCTAATAAAAATACTAATGATGCTATTATACACATGCTAGAACATATATACACTGCAATAGAGAAAAAAGAAGTCCCACTGGGGATCTTCATTGACTTACGTAAAGCTTTTGATACAGTTGACCATGACTTGCTCCACATAAAATTGTCACACTATGGTATAAGAGGGCACTCCCTCAACTACCTCAAGTCATACCTCAGCAACAGAAGCCAATATGTGTACGCAAATGGGGCAAACTCTTCCGCACAACCAATTACAGTTGGTGTCCCACAGGGAAGTGTCCTTGGCCCTCTTCTCTTTCTTCTATACATAAATGACCTACCAAATGCTTCGCAATTACTCAAACCCACACTATTTGCAGATGACACTATATACGTCTTCTCTCACCCGAGCTCAGTCACGCTAGCCAATACTGTAAATAACGAATTACAGAAAATATCTACCTGGATGAGGACTAACAAACTTACACTAAACATTGACAAAACCTACTTCATTCAGTTTGGTAACAGAGCTACAGATGTCCCTCTTAACATAATGATAAACGGATCACCTATCACAAAGCTAACAGAGGGAAAATTCTTAGGAATCCACCTTGATAATAGACTCAAATTTCATACACATATACAACAAATTTCTAAGAAAATTTCCAAGACTGTAGGCATACTATCGAAGATACGGTACTATGTTCCACAGTCAGCCCTCCTGGCCCTATATCACTCTCTTATTTACCCCTATCTCACTTATGGAATTTGTGCATGGGGCTCAACAACAATTAACCATCTCAGACCACTAATTACCCAACAAAAGGCTGCAGTCAGAATGATAACAAATTCCCACTACAGGCAGCACACTCCACCAATATTCAAAACACTAAACCTACTCACCATACAAAACATCCATACTTATTACTGCACCTATTACATACATAGAACACTTAACTCTGATGTTAACCCTCCCCTCAAACATCTCATTGCCAACCTCAACAGAACACATGACCATAACACAAGGCACAGATCACTCTTTGATGTTCCTCGTGTCCATCTCACGCTATGCAAAAACTCAATGCACATAAAAAGCCCTAAAATCTGGAATTCATTACCTGTAAATATAAAAAAAACACTACCTGTTTATAAATTCAAGTCTCTTCTCTAATTACCAGACATAATGAGGGCAAATTCCTAGGCCTATACCTTGACAACAACCTGAATTTCAGCATCCATATCCAACACACAACCAAAAAAGTATCCAAAACAGTTGGGATCCTCTCCAAGATACGATACTACGTGCCGCAAAATGCCCTTCTCACACTATCCCACTCACTTATTTATCCATACCTCACCTATGCTATTTGTGCTTGGGGATCAACTGCAGCAATACACCTAAAGCCAATATTAACCCAACAAAAAGCTGCAGTAAGAATAATCACTAAATCCCATCCCTGGCAACACACCCCCCCACTCTTCATAGATCTAAACTTACTCCCTGTTCAGTACATCCACACTTACTACTGTGCAATCTACATCTACAGGACCTTAAACTCCAATATCAACCTTGACCTAAAATGCTTTCTTGATAGTTGTGACAGAACCCACAGGCATAACACCAGACACAAACATCTCTACGACATTCCCCATGTCCGACTAAACCTTTACAAAAATTCAATGTATGTCAAAGGCCCTAAAATCTGGAACACCCTACCTGAGAACTCTAGAACTGCAGACACATTCATCACCTTCAAAACTACCATTAGAAAACATCTTATCTCCCTGATAAACCCCATCAACTAACTACACGAATACCACCTGGTGGTTCACACTTACACTCACTCACCCATATGACCATAAACAGAAATATTAATCTCAATCTTAAAATAATGAATCCTATGATACTCCAATACTGAAACTATGTACTGTGCCAAAACAAAAGCATTCACATTGCTAAACTCACAAACTAGTATTTAGTCACTTAGCCATAATACCAACTTACCTCATAATCTGTAATATTTTAAAATAAAGAATTAAACTAAGTCTGCCCGAAATGCCTAGCCATGCTAGGTGTTCTAGTGGTACACTCTGTAATCATTATTTAACTACATGTAAACCACACAACAACCAAATTCTGTAAATTCAACATTGTAATCTTTATAGAGAATAAACTTTGAATTTGAATTTGAATTTGAATTTGAAGATCACTTACTCACCCAAAACCAAATAAATACTGGCCCAGTGGCTATAGCTCCCGCTTCACACACGGAGGGCCCGGGTTCGATTCCCGGCGGGTGGAAACATTTTGACACGTTTCCTTACACCTGTTGTCCTGTTCACCTAGCAACAAATAGGTACCTGGGTGTTAGTCGACTGGTGTGGGTCGCATCCTGGGGGACAAGATTAAGGACCCCAATGGAAATAAGTTAGACAGTCCTCGATGACGCACTGACTTTCTTGGGTTATCCTGGGTGGCTAACCCTCCGGGGTTAAAAATCCGAACGAAATCTTATCTTATCTTATCCTTATAAATTGTATATCTTAAATGTTTCCCACAATTATATCACATAAATGTTAAACCTAAGACCCAATCTAACTTTGTTATTTTTTAAATACACTACCTAACAGAATACTCCATTCGACTGAATGTACAGCAATGCATGCAACCATATGACCTGTCTTTGTAATACTCATTTGTGCTTTATTGTTATCTGTTTACAATAATGTTTTATCACTGATTACATCATTGCTTAGTTAATCGTAAGTTAATTTTAAGCCAGCCTGTAATGCTATGCATACAAGTGGCTTTGGCATGTATTTTTTTGTACCTTTGTATGTATGCTCAAATTACTAAATAAATAAATAAATAAATAAATAAATAAATAAATAAATATGAAATACATCACAGTAGCTGCTCCACATCTTTTCTACTAACTTTTCTTGGGATTTGCACAAGGGTTAGTGTATCATTACACTATTAGCAGACTGTAAACCTGATAATGTATGTTTGTATATGCAGATAAAATTTGTTTGGATTTTTAACCAAGAGGGTTATCCACCCAGGATAACTTAATAAAGTCAGTGGGGACTATGTTATTTCTGCTGGGGTCTATTAATCTTGTCCCTAGGATGCCACAAGAGATGACTAAAACCCAGGTACCTACTTATTGATAGGTGCAAAGGTACAGCAGGTGTAAGGAAACATGCCCAACGTTTCCACTCATGCTGGGAATTGAACCATGGACACTCATTATGAGGTGAGTGTGTTGCCAACTGAGCCACAGGATACATTAGCTACTGTATTTTTATACTGTAAATGCAGATATTTTTTAGGTTTAGGTTAAGTCATCATATTACATTTAGCTTTTTTTGGTTAGGTCATCATAACTTGCCATATATATTTATTGTGTCTCAATTTAATTCTAAAATACAAGAATGAAGATAAATATGTATATATGCTATATGATGTGATAAATGTACATTTATTTCTAGATGAAACAAAAAACATCAGGACCACATTTATTATATTTATAGGGAGGTGTTGAACCTGTTGGGGATCATACAGTGCCAGGGGAGGTAACTAACAATCATAGTTTTCAAATTATTGACATCAAGTTGGGTTGCATTACAATCCAACCAGAAGGTTCGGTAACTTGTTAGATTTATTTTAGGTTTGGTTGGGTTGTTTGAGTTATACTTGCCAATAGTTTCAGTAAATTTATACGTAGCTAACAAGAAAATATTGGAAACTTTTCCTTATATGATAATTTATGTAACTGTATTTATGTGAACCTGTACCTTAATAAACTTACTGACTGGTGACTTGATAGCATTAGTAAGATCACTGGCATTTCCTGGGAAATGGTGTAATTAGATTTGATCTAAGAAAACAAAGGATAGCTTCATTTTCTTGAACCAAAATCCCTTCCTGTACTAGCATCAAGGTATATCTTCCCCTTGAAGGGTGAGGACCCTAATGGATTTAAATCCCTTAGAGAAACATTTTGGGATACCTTTGAATAAATCATTATAAAGTATGGGTTTTATATTATCCTTGACTATTAAAACTTTTAGCTATTAACACTGAAATAAGCTTCTTATGTACATATCACAAAACTCACAGAGGGAAAATTCTTGGGAATCCACCTTACCTGGAGGTTACCTGGAGGTTATTCCGGGGATCAACGCCCCCGCGGCCCGGTCCATGACCAGGCCTCCCGATGGATCAGGGCCTGATCAACTAGGCTCAAATTTCAAACACATACAACAAATTTCCAAAAAAATTTCCAAGACCGTAGGCATACTATCGAAGATACGGTACTATGTTCCACAGTCAGCCCTCCTGGCCCTATATCACTCACTTATTTACCCCTATCTCACCTATGGAATTTGTGCATGGGGCTCAACAACAATAAACCATCTCAGACCATTAATTACCCAACAAAAGGCTGCAGTCAGAATAACAAATTCCCACTACAGACAGCACACATCACCAATATTCAAAACTCTAAACCTACTCACAATACAAAACATCCATACTTATTACTGCACCTACTACATACATAGAACACTTAGCTCTGATATAAACCCTCTCCTCAAACGTCTCCTTACTAACCTCAACAGAACACATGACCATGACACAAGGCACAGATCACTCTTTGATGTTCCTCGAGTCCATCTCACACTATGCAAAAACTCAATACACATAAAAGGCCCTAAAATCTGGAATTCACTACCTGTGAATATAAAAGAAACACTGTCTGTTTATAAATTCAAGTCTCTTAAAAATCACTTACTCACCCACAACTAAATAAATACTGAATAATTGTATCACATAAATTGTATCTCATAAATGTTTCTCATTATTGTATCTCATAAATGTCTAACCTGTGACCCAATCAAACTTTGTTTTTTTTTTAATTACATTACCTAACAGAATACTCCATTCATATGGTCATTTACAAAGTAAATGACCATATGACCTGTCTTTGTAATACTCATTTGTGCTAAATTGTTATCTGTTTACAATGTTTTTACCACTGAATATATCACTGCTTAGTTAATCTTAAGTTAATTTTAAGCCTGCCCATAATGATCTGCATACAAGGGGCTTTGGCATGTTGCACTTTAATAACTGTATTCCTTTGTACTTCCATGTATCATGTTCAAATAAATAAATAAATAAGTAAATTTTATTTCTTCAGACATTCAATATAAATATACCTTTACTTTATCCTCCATGGATAAGATAATCCCCAGAATCAATAACAGATCACAGATGGGAGATAATTTTAATTGCCTCTGTACACTGTATACCTTATTTAAATAAATTAGTCAGGTGAAGCCAGGTATCGGAGGCAGTGAAGCTGCACTCTTCCAACCGACTTAACTCCAGTTCTCACCTCTCCACTACAAGAAAACCTGGTGTACGTCTTGAGATGTAATTACTTACCCACGAAGATGCTCCATGACTTAACTCCAGGAGCCACAGAGAGGTGAAGAACTTCTCGGTTACTGCTGGACACATTCATCTTCTTCCTACATGATGTTGCTTCCTGTGGGGCCGCACCTCTGTTGACACTCTCACTGCACCTCTCCTTTCATGGTGTTCTTATGGCCATAGAGGGGAGCACTAAACCCCTAGGGACCGTACACGTACTGTGGCAAGGGAATGGGAGATAATCGAATTTTATCAAATGAAAAAAGAACGGTAGCTCCAGTTCCTTGGATTGCGAGCCCTTCATCTGCGTCAAGACAATCCACTTTGAAGGGTGATTTAAGTTATATAGGTACAATTTTACACAACCTACATGATTACAAGTGTCTTACATAATGACATGTGTAAATTATCTTGGTTAACCCGAAAAGTCAAAGTGAGTTACTTCTAAATAAAGCAAAACTCTACTTCATTATATTTAACCTTTTAGACGCAATTTTAAGATACTACAGCATCTACATTAAGCATGTAATTATTATAGACTCACTGGGGATAAACTATGAACAACAGCTCAACAAAACACGATTATTTCCTGTGTGACGTGACACAGCAGTCAACTTCTGCCCGTCAGAAGGGGTCGGGGTCCCTTGGTCCTGAGAAAAGATAAGATAGCGTCTTGATTTTAGGAATTTTTCGTATCGAACCTGATTACCTGTCATTTTCCAGGCTCTGTATAACCCATACGGACTCAGCGCTTCTCCAGGAATAAAATTAATAATCTTTACGTCTACTGTTTCTGCTTGCTGCCTCGATGACAAGTTACTTTTTACTTAGGCTTTGCATACATAGAAAAGCAAAATTGTTATGTCCTTGAGGGCATACATATAAAATATAGCGGCCAACGGAGAGCCGGGGCCAGAAGCCGAGACTTGACCCCTGCATCTACTTGTGGGTTTAGCGCTTAGTCGTGATTGTAATAATAATCGACCCCTGCAACCACAATTAGGAGCACTTACCAGTATTTCATAACATGTAAACCACACAATACCCAAAACCTGTAAACCCCATATTGTAACCCTTATAGAGAATAAATTTGAATTGAATTGAATTGAATATTGAGATCCAGTGGTTTTGAGAAATCACGCTTTATTTTTCGTTTCACAATACAAGTATGATATATATAACCCGGCAGTAAAGCAACAGCAAAGAACTACAGACCAATAGCACTAACATCCCATATCATAAAAATCTTTGAAAGGGTCCTAAGAAGCAAGATCACCACCCATCTAGAAACCCATCAGTTACACAACCCAGGGCAACATGGGTTTAGAACAGGTCGCTCCTGTCTGTCTCAACTACTGGATCATTACGACAAGGTCCTAAATGCACTAGAAGACAAAAAGAATGCAGATGTAATATATACAGACTTTGCAAAGCCTTCGACAAGTGTGACCATGGCGTAATAGCGCACAAAATGCGCGCTAAAGGAATAACAGGAAAAGTCGGTCGATGGATCTATAATTTCCTCACTAACAGAACACAGAGAGTAGTCGTCAACAGAGTAAAGTCCGAGGCAGCTACGGTGAAAAGCTCTGTTCCACAAGGCACAGTACTAGCTCCCATCTTGTTCCTCATCCTCATATCCGACATAGACAAGGATGTCAGCCACAGCACCGTGTCTTCCTTTGCAGATGACACCCGAATCTGCATGACAGTGTCTTCCATTGCAGACACTGCAAGGCTCCAGGCGGACATCAACCAAATCTTTCAGTGGGCTGCAGAAAACAATATGAAGTTCAACGATGAGAAATTTCAATTACTCAGATATGGTAAACATGAGGAAATTAAATCTTCATCAGAGTACAAAACAAATTCTGGCCACAAAATAGAGCGAAACACCAACGTCAAAGACCTGGGAGTGATTATGTCGGAGGATCTCAACTTCAAGGACCATAACATTGTATCAATCGCATCTGCTAGAAAAATGACAGGATGGATAATGAGAACCTTCAAAACTAGGGAGGCCAAGCCCATGATGACACTCTTCAGGTCACTTGTTCTATCTAGGCTGGAATATTGCTGCACTCTAACAGCACCTTTCAAGGCAGGTGAAATTGCCGACCTAGAAAATGTACAGAGAACTTTCACGGCGCGCATAACGGAGATAAAACACCTCAATTACTGGGAGCGCTTGAGGTTTCTAAACCTGTATTCCCTGGAACGCAGGAGGGAGAGATACATGATTATATACACGTGGAAAATCCTAGAGGGACTAGTACCGAACTTGCACACGAAAATCACTCACTACGAAAGCAAAAGACTTGGCAGACGATGCACCATCCCCCCAATGAAAAGCAGGGGTGTCACTAGCACGTTAAGAGACCATACAATAAGTGTCAGGGGCCCGAGACTGTTCAACTGCCTCCCAGCACACATAAGGGGGATTACCAACAGACCCCTGGCAGTCTTCAAGCTGGCACTGGACAAGCATCTAAAGTCAGTTCCTGATCAGCCGGGCTGTGGCTCGTACGTTGGTTTGCGTGCAGCCAGCAGCAACAGCCTGGTTGATCAGGCGCTGATCCACCAGGAGGCCTGGTCACAGACCGGGCCGCGGGGGCGTTGACCCCCGAAACTCTCTCCAGGTAAACTCCAGGTAAACAATAGTGGGTTGCAATGCAGAGAGCCTCTATTATGGACACTTGTTATTTTGAGGGATATTAGCAAAAAATAGAACATTTACTTTTGAGAAGTGCAGCACGTCAATGCCAATCAATGGTTAGTATTGACACTTACGACCAATCACAATGAATATAGGCAAAGATAAATCGGATGTAAACATATGCCAATCCCGTATCTACCGCTTGCGGAATAAGGTGAAGCCGAGTTATTTTAGGTTGGGTTTCGTTAGGTTAGGTTAGGTTTCTTATTGGCAGGTCCTCCCAAGACTTGGCAGGTCTTTCCAAGATTGGCTGGTCCTTTCAAGACTTGGCAGGTTCTTCCAAGAGTTGGCAGGTCCTTCTCCAAACTTGGCATATACTTCCCAGTACTAGGCAGATCCTTTAAAACTATGTCCTTGACAAATGTAGCCTAATATTGGACATTTATAGCCAAACTCACTGAAGTCCCCCAAATCTATACTCCATGTCCGGTCTTCTTGCCTTTTCTCAATCATTATAATAAATCTTACATTTTCTGGTGTTGAATTCAAGCAACCACTTATCTGAAATCTTGCAGTCTCTCCAGATCCATTCGGAGCCTTTCCCTTTCTTCATTTGTTTTTATTCCCCTCATTAACTTTACATCATCAGCTAGTAAGGGGATACATCCGATTCAGTCTCATCTGGAACATTACCTACAAAACAACGGAAACAGTACTGCCCCAAGTACCGATTCTTGCGGCACTCCTGTGTGTGTGTATGTGTATTTATCTATATGTGGTTGCAGGAGTCGAGTCTCAGCTGCTGGCCCCGCCCCTTCGCTGGTTGCTACTAGGTTCACTCTCCTGTTTTGGAGAGCCTTATTGCTCCTATTTTTCAAAGCTATGTATTACCTGGAGTTTACCTGGAGAGAGTTCCGGGGGTCAACGCCCCCGCGGCCCGGTCTGTGACCAGGCCTCCTGGTGGATCAGAGCCTGATCAACCAGGCTGTTGCTGCTGGCTGCACGCAAACCAACGTACGAGCCACAGCCCGGCTGATCAGGAACTGACTTTAGGTGCTTGTCCAGTGTCAGCTTGAAGACTGCCAGGGGTCTGTTGGTAATCCCCCTTATGTGTGCTGGGAGGCAGTTGAACAGTCTCGGGCCCCTGACACTTATTGTATGGTCTCTTAACGTGCTTTCTCTAGTGACTTGACATTACTGGAGGTAAGTGTGATGCGGATGCGGTGGATGGGTGCACCGTCATCCATCATGCCGCCCTTCATGTCGCCCTTGTCGTACATGCCAGACATATCGGAAGTCTCCGGTCGAGATAATTATTAAAAATCAGCGCTGAACCGGAAGTTCGACTTCACCAGGAAGATTCTTCAACCTCAGAGTATGGATCCTGTCCCAACCATTTCACTCTCCAGGTCGTTCTACTTCCTACTCTCAGCTGAAGAAATTCTTCCTAACGTCCCCATGACTCATCTGAGTTCTTAACTTCCAACTGTGCCCTCATGCCCCTGTTTTCCATCTCTTCAACAATCTGTTCCTATTCCCATTGTCAGTTCCTCTCAGTATTTTGTATGCTGTCATCATATCACCCTTAGTCCTTCTGTCCTCTAGACTGAGTTCCCTTTAACCCATCTCGTAAGATATACCCCTTAGGTCCGGAAACAGTCTCGTTGCAAACCTCTTCACTTTCTCCAGTTTCTTGACACGGTTGACCAGGTGTGGGTCCCAAATTGGTGCTGCATATTCCAGTATGGGCCTGACGTACACAGTGTACAGTGTCTTGAACGGCCATACCACGTTGAACACACCGCTTCTCGTCCGATCAGCGAAGTTAAGCAACGTTGGGTTTGGTTAGTACTTGGATGGGTGACCGCCTGGGAACACCAAATGCTGTTGGCATTAAACCTTGTGGCCCGGTGGCCTGGTGGCTAAAGCTCCCGCTTCACACACGGAGGGCCCGGGTTCGATTCCCGGCGGGTGGAAACATTCCGACACGTTTCCTTACACCTGTTGTCCTGTTCACCTAGCAGCAAATAGGTACCTGGGTGTTAGTCGACTGGTGTGGGTCGCATCCTGGGGGACAAGATTAAGGACCCCAATGGAAATAAGTTAGACAGTCCTCGATGACGCACTGACTTTCTTGGGTTATCCTGGGTGGCTAACCCTCCGGGGTTAAAAATCCGAACGAAATCTTATCTTAATCTCTTATCTTATCCTTACTAAGGTATCGGAACGCTATTCTCAGGTTTGCCAGGCGCCCATATGCTGCAGCAGCTATCTGGTTATGGTCACCCCAAGATCTTTCTCCTTGAGCGAGGTTTGCAGTCTTTGTCCACCTAGCCTATACTCTGTCTGAGGTCTTCTTTGCCCTTCCCCAATCTTCATGACTTTGCATTTGGCAGAGGTGAATTCGAGAAGCCAGTTGCTGGACCACGTGTCCAGTCTTGTGTGTGAGTGTGCTCGTGTATGTGTGTGTGTGTGTGTGTGTGTGTGTGTGTACTCACCTATTTGTACTCACCTATTTGTGATTGCAGGGGTCGAGTCCTAGCTCCTGGCCCCGCCTCTTCACCGGTTGCTACTAGACCCTCTCTCTCCCCGCTCCATGAGCTTTATCAAACCTCGTCTTAAAACTGTGTATGGTTCCTGCCTCCACTACGTCATTTTCTAGGCTATTCCACTGCCTTACAACTCTATGACTGAAGAAATACTTCCTACTATCT